AATCTGAGAACTCTGAATACGCTCGCGCTCGACGTCTTTTGGAGAAAGCTCGCACCTCAGCGCCAACTGCCCGTGTTTGGATGAAGTCAGCGCGTCTTGAATGGTGTCTAGGCGACCTAAAAACAGCATCTGCCATGCTGGAAGAGGGCTGCTCAAAGTACCCCAATGCTCCCAAGTTACATATGATGCGAGGACAATTGGCTCAGATCCTAGCTGAAGAAGAGAAACCGGAATCTAAGGAACGGGAAGCTCTCCTTGAAAAGGCGAGGGAAGCTTTCAAAGAAGGAGTACGTTTCCCCCTTCATTTTACCTTTTGTTTATGACTAGTTTTTGCAGAGGGAGGTAAGCATTTAGGGTCTTGAAGCTCGCGAAACAAAGTGAGAATTCTCACAAATTGTGAATTTTGCATATGTTTCGCTCAGTTCAATGGTGGAAAAATGGCAGAACCCTGTCATCTTCGGTTATTTTTCTTTCCTTAGTCATTTATGTGACCGTGAACTATAGTGATAGAATCTCATGGAAATTGAATAGCATGCTATTGGGTGGAAAATGTATTGTTAACTCTTGGTATCGAATGAATCGTTCTTCATCTGAATAGATAGTTTGCTGCTTTTAATTATGTCCGCTTTGTTTGCGATACTTTATTTATTTATTTCAAATGGCAGGCGTTTTGATAGATATCATTAGCCATTTAGCTGACTTCGGGCTTCACAGAGGGAAGGTTCATCAAAGTAGCAGAAAGCCGAGGGGTGGGGAACAGAAGAGCGATTCACAGATGTAAAAGAGGCAGACAGACACAAAGGTAGAGAAAAAGGTAAGATGAGCACTGTGAAAGCGGTCGAATATGGCATAGAGTGAGGTGATGGTAGTTTGAAGTGAGAAGTCAACTGCCGGTTAATAGACTTTTTTGCCGTATGAGTATACGTTGCCCAGGGTGCACCACGTGGAGGTAAGTCTATCGCACACCCCATGTTTGCGAAACTTATCGATCGATTAGTGACTTAGGTTGGTTAGTAATAACTCTAGTACTGGTGATAGTTGTTCCTGTATTCTTGGTATAACAGGGCTTATTGGTATTTTCACAGGGTGAAAAGGGATCAATGAATAGGGTTGTTTGAATTCCTTTTACCTTACTATCATTGATTATGGCTAATCGAATCGTATACTCACTATAAAGTACTGATTTTAAGTATAAAATGAGTGAAATAACCCTTAGAATTT